ATCCTACAATCCCCGAAACCTGTATTTCAAGGACTTGCGGACCCGCTGATGCTGTCAATGCTGTGGGCCTCTGTAACTAGCATCGGGTGCTGTTGCTTCTTCCCTTGGTGGAACTTGTTGGCCTTTCACCTTAACCGCCAAAGGTAACTGTGTAAGCGGCCCACATCCACCAACCCCAAACCAAACCGAAAATCGAAATCCTAAGCCCGAAAATCGAAATCCTAAGTCGCTAAACTCCAACCCGAATCTGACCACTTTGCGCATTAAGCCCAACAGTAAGCCGTTAGCCCGCTTCCAAATCCGCAAATCCAAGCGCCTGAATCAGTGGGGACATACCTTCAATCATACTAATGGGACCCCTCAACAGCTTCAGGTGCAACGCTTGATCGATGTTCGGAGTCCCTGTGTAAGGCACTTCCCATGACCTCAAGTTCGCAAAAGACTACCAAAGGGACAACAGACAACAACAAGAAGAGCAAACGCCGCCGCAACAGTAAAACAGATACAAACGGTAAAGCTTTGTCCAGCTGTTCGGCTTCATCTGGCGCTGCGGCTTCCAAGTGATTGATCTGAAAAAAAAAAGGCAAAGGCGCAACGTTCCAGGGTTGAGGGTTTACTTAAGCTCCGGTGTGGAGTTCGGGTTGTTGGGGTATCCGACCCTTTTGCATGACCTGGTTGGCTCGACTGCAGGAAAAATGATTGAAAACTCACCAGTTGAAATTTCCCATGCCCAAACCAAGTCAAGATCCCTAAAGCAACAAAGCACTCTGTAATCTTTTGCCGCAGATCTTGGCTCTCGCGTCTTCGGACCATCTCCAGCAGAAGCCAAGACCTGGCAAAAACTGCGGGCATCAGGGACTGGAGAAACATGACTTCGTACACGGACCAAAAAAACTTTGGCCTTCAACATACATGCCCTCCCGCTCCCAAACGCTAGGTATGAACCCCACGCCGCGACTCCAAATCCCACAGCAAAAACTACAGAGAGCCTAAGCGCCAACAGAAACCAACTCAGAGGTAAGGAAGAATATGACTTCGCTTACGCTCTGGCTCCTTACGGCCATGAGCCCACAACAGCCAGAAAGGCAAGAAGCCAGGAAGCCGGTGCGAAGCCAGACACCAAAACACAAGAAACGCCGTCAAAAAGCTGGCAATCAACATCAAAAGACTCTCCGTCGATGCCGGGCCGTGACTCGAAATCTCACAGCAAAAACCACCACTCGAACCCAGGGCTCGTTGAAGCTGAGGCCCAATAAATGAGCTGAGTGGGCCAAAGAGCTGGGAGCGATTAGGGTTAAAGGTTTAGTTATGGGTTCATGGACAAGGAAAAGTCGACACTCAAAAAGAAAGTGGGCAACAATGCATTATTGAATTACTTGGAACATGAAAGTCAACAATGCTATGGTCGAGTACTCCAACAAGCCAGCATGATCGCACAGAGAGGCTGAGGCCGGGAGTGCCAAGACATCTGGAGTTGTGGGACAAAGCCTATGTCAGAGTTAAGCGTCGTCGAACGAAATGTTGTGCACAGCTGAATGAAAACTGTTTGTGCGGGGTAATGTGTCGACGGTGCATGCCCGCCCATGTGCACAACAGCCTGCGAAATCTCTCGAACCGTCAACACTAAAGCCAATAAGGATCTGAAGCATGAGCTGCAAGGCATGCTGACCTCTGGAATGAACACCCTCTGCGCATTCTGCTCTACCCCGTAAACCCTTGAAGCCTAAACACGGGATCCTCTGCAACCATCCCTATAGCTTTTCTGAGCCGAACTGGCCACTCCCGCACCCAACCTCAAAGCCAAAAGCAAGTACGACAGAAAGAAACACGGACCCTGAACCCTAAACGTCATCCTAAGATTGGAAATTTAACGCCTGAGTGATCCTGATTGCCCTCAACCCGAGCCAAACTCAGGCCACCACCGCTTGCACACCCACAATCTCTGTGCCGGTCCTTGCGTTGGGTTTAGCTTGGGGCTTGGGGCTTAGTGCAGCAGAGAATAGAACACACAGGTGATATCTCCGTTCTTTAGGGCTGCGGCTGGGCATAGGTGACGGTGGTTGGAACTTGAGAAAAGTCATCGATTCACAGCTGTATAAGAGAAGGTGGCCTCCGGGTGTCCCTGACCCAAGACCCCAAATACACTGTGTCAGCTGCAATGTTCAAACTTCAAACAATACTGAACTCGGTTTAGGGTGTAGGGCCAGGGTTTTTTTAATAACCCAAACCCTAAGCCCCAAACCCAAAAACCCAAACCCCTCCCCATTAAAAACAACACAAACAACACTACACTCACAGATGCAGCCCCGGAAGTCCCTCGGGGCACGTATCGCCACAGAACGGGGGTAGCAGTGGCAGTGGCAGTGGCAGTAGCAGTAGCGGTACCAGGAGCAGCAGCAGCAACAGTAGCAGGAGCAGTGCCAGGCGCAGCAGCAGCAGCTGTAGCAGTAGCAGTAGCAGCAGCAGTGGCAGTGGCAGTGTCGGAGGATCCTTCGCGTCTCGAATTTCAACTGGCACGGAGGACAGTTTGCAAGGAAGCAGGCCCACCCCTACCCCAACTTTACCCGCCCTACCCCCTCCCTCAAGCGAAGTTTCAATGGCAGTACTCTGATATTGGAAAAACAGCAACCGCATGGCAGTACTGGGCATCAGCGAAGATAATATCTTGATGGTCTAGAAAAAATCCTGAGTCCGGATCGGGAAAGGTCAAGCGACTTGGACGGGTTAGGGCCTAGGAGTTGGTTGAGGGAGAGGCCGAAAGCATTTTTAAAGCAGCAGCCATCGAGTGAAGGGCTATGTGCAGGTGAAGCCTGCATGTAAAAGCCTCGTACCCAATGATCTTGGTGCCTGGGCCTCTGCTCTCTTGTAACAGTACGGGTTGAGGTTGTCTCGCTTCCCTGTCTCCAAGCTCCAAACCTTGGACGTCCACCCGCTGTCCTGGCATGGCGTCGCTTCTACAAACAGCGAGCAGAGCTGGGGGTTTTGGCAAGATGGGTTGAAGTTCAATCATAAACATAAAAGTGTGGGCTGGAATGGGACCGAAATCGGGTTCGGGCCGGATGGTTTTGGGACGCCAGATTTGTCCAAACTATGGCCAGGTTCCCTTGCAGGCCCTGAAAAGCACAGTCCAAATTGTTTCGAGCTCTGGTTCGGCTTAAAGGTCGAAGCATGTCCAGAGTTTGATGGGTGGTGGTGGTGGTGGTGGAGGTGATGGTGGTGGGGCTCTGGGACCAAGCTGCTCAAGCCTGGAGGTTTCCACTACAACCTCAACCCCGTACTGTCACAACAGAGCCCAGGCCTGGGAAAAGAGCTCCTCGTTCTGCAACTGCCACGCCTTTAGGGCTGGGTGATGGCTGCTGAGGGACTGCTTTCCAAAGTTTACTGAAACCCTATCCGGAAATTCTAGGCCAGAATGCCTTACCAAGCAGGAGACGAAGTCTTTGGCCCTGAACTCCGATAAACCCCTTCACCGTAAGAGCGCCTGGACGCACAGCAGCTGCTTTTAAAGCCAGTGCCACCACACCCCTGCCCCCCTCCCTAAGATATCCCCTAAATCAGTCCCTAAACCCTGTACCTTATGTCCGACCCAAGAGCGCTAATCCTGGAGAACCTCCAAAACCGCAGGGCCGCAGGGTGGAGCGCGGGCAGGAGTTCTAATTGTGTCCGAGTTTTCTCCCATGTCTAGTTTCGAGAAACCAGGATTACTGTTTTCTTCCTTAGTTTATCCTGTTCTGAGCCACTTGCGATCTGAGTAGAGATAGCGCAAAAGTCGGACATAACCTTACCGAAAAACCCTTCAACTCCTAGTCTAAACCCCTGATTCCCTACGCGACCACCTAGATCTTTAGCCGCCTTATCCTAAACGCCTAGAGGCCCTTGAAAGGCCTGCCGTTACTTCCAATGCCTCGCTCCAAGCTAAGCTCCAGGCAGAGACGAAGTCCCAGGTGCGTGGCTGCCAATGCCTGGGGCTTGGAGCAAATGGGGTTGACAGTTTGGGGTTTAGACGCTTATAATCTGCGATTTAGGGGTTTTGAAGGGAGTTGAAAACTTGGTTCGAGAGTCGTCGTCTTCCCTGCACAAAGGCGTTGCAACGTCGCGCTCTCAGGGCTTAGGGCAGGTAGGATCTTGCGACACGCGTAGTTCCATGCCATCCGGATGACTTCATGCGCCAACTGCCGACTGTGTAATCAGCAGTAACCTACGGACAAGGATTCCTACAGACATTTTCTGACCACAGAGTCTTGGAAACAGGCCAAGAGACGCTAAAAACTGAACTGCGAGAGCCACCCAGCTGGCAAAAGACATAATACAGACAGTCAGACCGATGGAAAAGCACATTGTAACTCAATTCAGGAAGATGGAGGAAATAACAGAAAGATCCGACAAACGAAGGAAACAGCAAAGACAGACAATACGACCAGCGATGACAGCACTACACACACGAGGCACAGACTTACATGTAAGGTCTCAGATAGGGTCGGTAATTATTCAAGCCTCCATTCTGCACCAATGCCAAGATCTCAGGCACTGAGCACGTAACCACGCCAAGTCGTGACCCGATGTTGACCAAAAAGCTTCCCCAAAGTACCGGCAGGACTCAGACGGGATTCAGAAGCACGAAAAACATATTTCCCTCACATACTGGCAGGCTTCGGAAACGCGGAAACCGGCCGCAAATGCACCACCATATGCGCAGCGCCATCGGACGACGCGGATACGTGGCGCTCACGGCTGAGAAGGTTATCAATGCAGAACAGGAGTCGTCGCCGCACCACACCCGTGCGTTAACAAAATAGCGATACGAGGCAGCCTTCCGGAAACCCCATGGCCAACCAACTTCAGGAACACCGATGCCATGCCTTCACGCCAACCAACTTCACAACGACGGCAGCACATCATGCGGTCAACACAACATCGTCACATCATGCCATCCAAACCACCCCCATGGGCAAACCTTTCGACATGCTTTCTGAAAAAGACCACAACCCCAGCGGAACAAACTAACGTCTGAGCAGCGAGCGCCGATTGGACACTGATGAAAGCGCATGACGACCTCAGACACAAGACTGACACAAGCGACAGCACTGCATTCGGCGGCTACCTATTTCGGGAGTGCACATGGCCCCTCATCGCAGCGCCGGGCAGACGCTACGATGAGAAGCGACAGCAATCCCGAGGCCGCCACATTGTCAGCCTGCATGGAACATCATGGAACCCCCATGACTGCAGCTTCGCTTGCCTATGCTGCGGTTTTGGGTTTTGCTGCATCCGATGCTGACTGGCGCAATTCGGGCGGATCATACATCTAGGGCTTTGGGTTGAGGCGATTCCGGTGCGTCCTAAAGATTTATGTAGCCTTGTCGGGTCGTTCGAGTGTGGACCCGAGATATGCCAGCACATGCAAGGACGTCTTTGTCTTCCCGCAGCTGATGCAGCATTCTTGGCGTGGCGGATTTCTCTCCACAACGACAGCTTGCGCTTCTGGTTCTCGGAAAGCTGTCTCGGATAAACCGGATCCATAGTTGCAGCCGTTTGTTGAACGTCAGCATCTGCAAGAAACTCTCTGGCTGCAGCACTCTCCGCCTTAACCTTCTTCCGTACCACCTCGCCCCTGAACTCCTTCCCGCTCCATGCATACGGAGCTCCGTTCGCGTCTTCAGCTGTGATGGTCAGTGTCGATTGGTGGCAGTTCGCGTCGCCCTCCTTGACCTCCACGGTGTTGTAGCAAATTCCCAGCTGGTGGGGACTGTTATTGCCACGTTGAGAATGCTTCAATCGCCTTGGGGCTGCTTTGAATGATTCGTGGGCCCACAGATATGTGTGTGTGTGTATATATATATATACATATATATATATATATATATACGTACTAAGTTTACGCGCCAAGATTTGAAAGAGAAAACGACATCTGCGTCTTGAGGCTGAGGATTTACTTTGAGGGTTGTGTCTTTGTGCCAGTACAATCCGTAGCTGCGATTGGCTAAGCGCAGTGCTATTTTGGATCGAACTGGTGCTCTCGCATAGGCCCGCTCGGTCTATGGAATAATGATTCTGTCGTGTGCATAGATGAAACTACTACGTTTATCTCCCAGCTTAGCAAGACACGATATCGTCACGTGCATGCCCCCTGCTCTCCGTTTCGGTCCTTCTTAACTGTCTTAACTGATTACTTCTCTCGTTCTTCCTCAAGGCTTGCTTTCTTCATTCCTTCCAGCCGGCTGCAATTATCTTCAACTGATCTCGCCTCGGTGCGGCACACATTCTGTGCCGGCTCTCTCTCCCTCTTGTGTTTCTCTCGTGTTACATGCTCCTTGCATTCTTCCTGGCCCTCGGCATTCATCTCTGCAACAGAAAGCTCCGTAGTCTGATTCATAAACTCAACAAGAGCACAAGCCTCCAACCCAAAACATTAAAATATTCACATTGTAGGGAGAGTGGGCACTACGTCGACCGGTGTCCAGGCAAAGGCTCAGGTGTATGACTAAGCTTCCAGGCTTACGGCTAGCATGGGCTAGCTGGCTGGCCTTATCCACAACCAAACAATCAAAACTCTCTTAACCCTTCTTCCAAAACTCCATCGTGGTTTCGTCGCGAGGGGTTGGCATAACGCAGCCCTGCATCAGCAACGAAAAACAACTGCACGCTGCAACTCAGGGTGGGACTGCATGAAGCCAACCACGGTGGTCTTTTCGTCGCCGGGTTGCGTCGTGAGGTCGAAGCCAGGAGCTCCTACCTTTAGGCTCTTGTGCTTGTTCTTCCTTGACTTCTTCTTCTTGGAGGCAGTGTCGATCGGACATGGCGTGCGCATCTCCAAGTCGTCCCCTGGGCTGCGGCTGCTGGCAACCGGTGACGACGGATTGCTTGTGTGGCGGCTTGAGCTCGCCGCGCTCGCCGCTTCGACCTTTCCGGGCATATCCAGAATGAAGCCTCTCTCTGGCCAGACTCTGTGCGTCTGTTCCTGCCCCTGTCTCTGCAACTTCTGCGGTGAAACAGGGTCGTGAGCAAATCTATTCTTGATTGCCTCCTGTAGCTGTAACTTTTTTCTCTTGGTAGATGTAGGCGGCGTGGTCGGCGTGGTCTCATTGAGCGACTGCCTTGGGCGTCGCTGCTGCTGCGAAGTGCCAGAAGAAGGTGGGCTGATGGGGCGCGTCCTGAGCCATGCTTACTCTCCACTGCGCAATCACCGTCAGCTACCATCTTAAGATGTTTGAAGGGCGGTCCTGACACTGTCTCTGTCTCTTGAAGACGGCGACGGCGAGTTCAGACGCTGCATCCTGCGCTCAGCTCCCTCCTCCATGGCCGGTCAGGATCCTGCTAGGTAGAAAACTGAAGCTACAAGGAGCCAACTACGGAAGCATAGGAACCGGTGATGTGACAACGAGTCTCATGGCATGGAGCTGCAGGTAAGCTCTGTAGGAATACCATATATTTAGGGTTCCTACAGTAGGAACCCTAAATATATCCTACTACTCACGATGTCCTTCTATACCTTCTCAGGGCAGCGCTCTACCTTAATAAAACCTTGCTTTCTGCCTTTCTTCCCTTGGTTGCCCATGATCCAAAGACCCTTCCAGAACCCTGAAAAGGAACACTGTTCTAATTACTAAGGCCCCTATATGATGCCAATGTCTTATCAATGTGAATGAACCTGAGGCTGAGACTGCTCCCAGTACAAGTCGAAGAAGAATGGAATGTTGAACAACCTGTGCTGGAGAATGCCATGCGATCCCTTGCACAACACGTACCCAAAATGATGGGATTGCTGTTGCAACTGTTCAATCTCGAGAATCCTGAGGCTGGGCCCCCCGCCACCAAGGAGTGAAGCGCACCTCGGCTCGCTATGGAACAGGATTGTTCCCTTTCAGTGTTGCTTTTGCATACCATAATTTTGCCTAGCCAAGCGCGTTCTTGTTCCCGGCACAGAATCCGAAAGGCAGTAGTAGTAGTAGTAGTAGTAGTAGTAGTAGTAGTAGTAGTAGTAGTAGTAGCAGTCACAGTAGTACATACTAGTTCAAGAGCCATACCACCGTTACGATTTCATAGTACTCTTCTTTGTTTGCTCTTGGTTCCGGTGCTCTCATGGCCCCGAAGTTGACAGACGGGCAGCTTCAACTTCTGGTACAAAGTCGCCGGAAGAAACACTGCACGTACCGTAACCAACGTTCGGCTCACCCTGTTTACAAACAGTACGTCCTACACTAACCAATACTCTGCCCCCACGGTGTGAACTGAATGCAGGTACAAGGTGCTGCGGGGGTTGCGGCTGTCGATGAAGCCTGCCAGCGGACAAAATTATGGCCTTGAGCTTTCATGTTCATGCGTTCTCACTTCAGGTGTTGCTAAGCCCTATAGGTGCTAAACCCTACCCCGGGTCCATGTACCGAAATACTAGTACCTACATTGGCCTTAAAGCAGTCCCTGTATGGGAGTTTCCGAAAATTGGGGGTACCTTATTTGGGGTCCTTATAAGGATCCTAGGGCCCATACCCCAAAGCCCTGTTTCCTTTCTAACTCCCTGTTTTATGTACAAGGACTCAACCATTCAGTGCCTTTTCGCTTGAACCATAATCAAACCCAAACCCCCTAAACCCCAATGAAAACACTAGTCACCATTCCCTGTCTTAGTCCCTTATCTTCCGTCCTGGTAGTCGGTGCCCAGCCGATCACCCGCGCGGCCAAGCAAAATGAGCCAGAAGGGTTGAGCGTGGCGGTTGATGAGGCACAAAGATTATGATTCGGAGTTTTGGGAAACCCAAAACTCCTAAACCAGAGCATCTGGCCTGGCCTAGAAGGATTAAACGGCAAACGCCCTCCCTCCCAACCCACTCCCGACCTGCCTTAAATTGCTTGCAGCTTCAGAGCTTTTTTTTTCCGCGAAATATGCAACCACACCTACGTCCGGGAAGCACCCCTTCTGGCTCCCCAGCCCGATCAGAGAAAATGATTCGTATAACTCGGAGAAAAGCAAGCTTAAACCTGTTCTGGCTGGGCGGTAGACAGCAGAAGTGCTTCCATCACTTGAAAAGGGCCCGCTGCAACGGGATGTCGTTCCTGACCGTCTCTGTGCATGCTACCCACTATGCCGAGACGATGCTATAACGATGAGGTGTTTCCTGATGTTGACAGAGTAGATGACGCTGTTGACGAGAATCGTGAACCTGATGGTTGAGTAAAGAATATCGTACTGTTGTTCACGGAGATGACGGCAGGATGATCTCGATAAGGTGGTCGGGATGGTGAACAAGATGATTTACGCATGGTGAAACGATGGTGATGGTGTGATGAAGAAGATGATGATTATGATGCTGATGGTGAATGCGAGCCAGACGGTGCGCCAAGACCACGATGCAAGTAATAGTCATGCTGCCTAGAGTCATCCACCAGATTCTTGGACAATGATGCTGCTGCTGCTGCTGCTGCTGCTGCTGCTGCAGAACTGACAAGATCAAGAAGCATGATGCTGGCAATACCACAGGCCCGAGCCTGCGACACCGTCAGCCTGCATGGAACCAGGGTAACTAGGGCTGCAGTTTAGCTTGTGTTGCCTGCAGTATTGTCGGGTTTTGCGGGTGTTCCAGGAGGTTTTGTGCTTACGTGCGCATTCGAACATTATGTGTCGACCCTGCCACTCTCTCTCCCTGTCTTCTCTTTTCTCGCATTACATATTCTTTGCTTCCTTTCTTGCCCTCAATAAGCCCGGCAAAACCAAAATCATACCAAAAATGTGCCAATTACGTGCCCTCAAAACTCTCTTAACCCTTCTTCCAAAACTCCATGTGGCTGCGTCACGATGGGTCGGCATACCGCAGCCCTGCACCAGCAAACCAGAAACAACTGCGCACTTCAACTCAGGGTGGGACTGCATGAAGCCAACCACGGGAACAGCGGAGCCTAGAAGTTGGAGGACCTTAGGCTCGTCGGCGAGGCACTGCTTTGGATGACGACGGGGATGGATATGTGAAGATGTAGAAAGACGCACACATACCGAACTATGCTGACAAATATCATAGAGCAAGGTTTCGATGACGCCTTCTTGCAACAGGAACCCCGCGCGGGGAGAGTGTTAAAGAGGGTTCGCTTGAAACTTGACGCCACGCTCCAGTCTCTCGAAGAGCCATTTTTCACACGAGGGTATTCGACATGTTGTGGTGTGGAGACCTTTGAGATATTTGCCAATGCCGATTGTTCCAATAACACCGAACACAAACCCCTACAGAACCCTCGAACCTCCCGGCCCTGAATCCTCAGTGTAATCTCCCCCGCCCCCCCCCACCTTCACGGCATCAAGAACCTCGACGAGCCCGCCAATCCATACGATTCGGCATCGTTCCAAGGTTGAAGTCTGACAATCTCAAGACCTACAAAACTGTCGCTGGAAGGGTCGGGCTCTCTGCTGAAAGGCTCAAAACGACGTTGCTGCACCTGCCATGACCGCTTCAGCCACGGATGCAAAGCTTCAGTCCGGTGAACTCGTGCAAGCCCTGCCCCAAAGGGACAGGACTCCCACTTGGCCTGCAGAGGCTTCCGCTGCTTGGGCCCGAGCCGAGCCGCAGAAGACGCCGGGCGCGCGCCCACTGCCGCGGCACCGCGGCACCTGGGACTGGGTGTGTCCGTCCACCCATTTACAGTGCACGAGCTGCGGAGTTTCGGGCGCAGGGTTTTTTGAGTTACATAAGGGTTTGGGGGTTAGCAGTTACGGGCTTGGAGATTTAGGGTGCCTCGAGGGTACACGTGGCAGTTCTGAACACGATCACCTTGTTGTGCCGGACGTGTAAGATCCTCCAATCGAGGTTGCCTCGGCACTGCCAATTGCTTGGAAACATCTCCCGCTTCACTGTCTCGAGTGGATGACCTAGCCTGGAAAAAAGTCTCAAAAGCTGGAGCATGCTCTTCTGAATGTGGCTCTCTGCACCAAGACCGTGGCCGCATCCTTAAAGAAACTCTGCCCATGTCAACAAAATTCTGTAGTCTCAAAAGGGCCGACTGCTCATCTGCCATCGCATGCGCCACGCACACTTCAAGTTCGTCTCACCAGCACCTGCATGTTGCATGCCCCAGTGTTCAAGCTGCATGCGCCCCTACTACAGTTACTACAGTATGTTAGTTGCCTCGGCACGAGACTTGAGCCTTGCAGGACGGGCACTAGGGCGAGCGGATTCTCGACTTGTCTTCGGCATCCAGCCCGTCTGCTTTCCGAGGCCCCCGCTGCAAGGGCCGCCGATGTCAAACTCGCACGCCAGAGCCACCGAACCTTTGCGCAAGAAAGTGAGACGCCATGCCCGAACGGAGCCAAGGTCCCCAAGCACTACACCCAACTCCAACGACCCTCGAGCCCAAGCAAACACCCTCTGATCTGTTGCCTTGTGCAGCAAGGCTCTTCAGTGCAGGGCAACGAGCAATGAGAGCAACCCACAGGGCTGAGGTCCTTGCACGAATCAGGTCGAGGTGATGCAGATGCAGAGACGCCGTCCTCAGCAGTCCGATGTTGGGGCTCAGGAGCGGGAATTCAGGAACGATGTTTCGGGGTGCAAGATGCGAGGCTTCGGGTGGGGCTTCATGCTGCATGGTTCATGTAGACCGTTTGCCACCACTTTCCGTAGAATGCACGCTGACTCCATCACCACGACTCCAGTTAGGACTACCAAGTTTGCGACCATGAATGTATTGGTAGATTCCCAGTGTCTTGAATGCTCAGCCAGTGTACAATCAGGTTCAATCTCTAAGGACTTCTGTAGACTCCCGGCAGCTTTTCTTGTGGGGTTTGATCTGGCTTCTGGCTTCTCCCTTCTGACGACATGCCAAAACAAACCTGACTGGCCTCGGAAGCGACCGCCAGGCGGCCTCGCCGGCGGGGCCGGAGCTCCAAGGCCTTCGAGCGGGCCCAACACTACCTGGAAATGGTTTAAATTTAGTCCCAGAAAGTTGGAACATGGGTTTAGGATTGTTGATGATGTTGGGGATTTACAGGACTCGGGGTATTAGTAACAATGGAGTAGTGTGTAGGAGTTGGGGAGCCTGCGAGCCTCTGTCTAATTTGATGCGGTAGGTCATCTAGAGGATTGTACATGGGCCCCAAGGCTCACACAAAACCAAACCCGAACCCATCAATCACCCAAAAAGGACACAAAGATTCTCGCACTTCCCGCACGATGCAGTGTCTCACACTCAAAGGCCGAATGCCTTTTTCAATCGCGCTTGAGCCATACATGGCATCCCAGGCACCTCGGTTTGTGCGTGTCATCCTTCGCAAGGGCCATGCACACTCCTTAGTCGTGCGTGTCATCCTGAGCAGGGGTCATGCGCACACTCCTCCTCGACTTGCGAAGAGAATCTACAAAAGTCGCGACCCCGCAGCATGACCCTGCAACTGGAGATCTGAGCGGGCTGGACTATTCCTTCGGCCCCACTCCAGAAAGCAAAATCAAAACTCATGTCCAGCACTCGGCTGGCTTATCCTGTGATCTTTGGCATGGACGCAACGCCCACACGATGTCTCAAGTGCATGAGGCGTGTTTTTGGAAGTATCTTCGTGAGCATGTCTGCAATGAGATGTTCTCCTGGAGTGTGCAACACCTGCACATCTTCAAGATGGATCTGATCGCGCATCCAGCTGCACCTCAAAGCGAAAGCTCTAGTCCTCCACTTGCCAAAATGCATGCGATCCTGAGTTGCAAGAATGATTGAAGCACTGTTATCTCCTGTCAGCGTCCTCGTCACAGGCTTATGAAGAAGATCCTGCAGCACATACGTAAGACGAATCCCCTGGGACAAGGTCTCAGCCAGTGCATCCGTTTCTGCTTCACAAACTGACCAAGCAGTGACTGTCTGTCGACAGGAGAACCAATGTATCACACTGCCTGCATAACACAACACGCCACCTGTCCGGCTTCGAGAGCCCTCAGGGGCGAACGATGCATCTGAAATGAAAGTCATCTCACCCGGATTCCCATCCGGTCCATACTGCAAGCACTCATCAAGGGTCCCTCGCACATAGCGCCACAAACCCACACAGAACTTACAGATCGCCTCTGGTCGGCGATGCATAACACTCGCTCCCATTGACACAGCAGCAAGGACATCGGGTCTACTCCGAATTCCAATCCACATCAGAGCTCCAATTTCTGACCGTGCATTGGCCAGATTCTTGGCATGATGCTCGTCAAGTGCTTCATCCTCGGCCATCTCCAGCTGAGGAAGTGACTGCGAACCCTTCATATGAACCCAGCCTCTGCGATTCAGCTCTTGAAGAATCCAGCGGCGCTGCTGGATAACGATCTTATCCCCCTCGAAGGAAATTTCTACTCCCAAGAAGTTCAGCGCTTGCTTCTGTGCCACTTGTTCATCGTTGCATTTCACTTGCACGTCCGTTTGTCTCGCGATGAAACCCTGGATTTTCGTTCGCCACTCTGCGCTCACAAACTGCAAGAACGCTTCCACTGCAGATCGTTCGCCCGTTACCAAGCAATCATCTACATACATGGCTACTAATCCCACTAGAGTGTCACCACATAGCAGCTTCCACAGACCGTCCTGGTGCGCGATAGGCACGCAGTGGATCTGCCTTCCTTGATCATCGGTCAAAACCTTACCGGAAATCTTGCCGTCTCGATCCCGGCTCCAGTCCAAAGGGGACCGTCGCAACCCGTAGATTGCTCTGATTGGGACGTACTGAACATCTTCCGCAATCAAACCCAGTCGTTTAAGGACTGCCGGCGGCTCAAGAATGACCAAGTCTTTACCACCCAAGAAGGTGTTTAAAAATGCTGCGCTGATGTCACCTGCTCCCATGATCCACGATGGCCTTAGAGCAGTTTCCTTAGCCATGGTCCTCAAGACAGACATGTCCACATTCTGCGTGCTCAAGTCCTCTTTGTCCTGGGAATCATGTTGGAAATTTCCGCATGCTACGATCCTCACTTTCGGCTCGTCGATTGGTCCAGAGCTTTCATTCAAAGGCTTCAAGGTGTTGACAAGTTGCATCGGTAGGGCCTTAGGAAGCTTCACGCTTCTGTCTAGACCCAAATCCTCATGGATATGGCCCTTTCGAACCTCAATCCAAACCTTCTGATGCACCGTCATGTTGTCGAGCTCCTTACGTGCCGCTCCAATCCAATCCTCGCGACGTGGGCCGAAGAAAACATCGTTTCCACATGGTTCCGCGCTTGCCTTAAAGCTCTTGAGCTCCTGGGCTAGACGCTCTTGCTCAACCATCTCTGCTTCTTCATCAAATCCAGGAACCTGATATCCACATGGCTCTGGCGTCACCTTATCCAGCTTCTCAAGATAGCATGCCTTGGAAGATTTCCCACAAACGGTGCAGGTCTTTCCCTCAAGCCACTCAAGATTCTTATCCCTGGACTTGGTGACCTCAGCATCCTTAGCTGAACTCTCCACAGCCTTGTTGCATGCTGCTTCACACTTCGCCGCCTGGAAGAAATCTGCTTCCTTCGCCTCTTCAGGGCCGTATTCGCGCTCCTCGACGGTTAGCAAACCAAGATCGTGACCTAAATCTCTGATGTACTCACCGTCTCGCACGTCGCCCTTCGAAGAGATCCAAACAAGATCACCCAGCGGTGTGGTATGTGTTCTCCAAGTTGCGCTCTGTGTGTCCAGAGTTGTTGGAAGCCTTGCTGTCACGACTTTCTGTTGCCCGTTCCTTTCAACCAGCACTAATGCACCGCGTGATACATCATCGCATTGCGCCAAGAAAGTTGCAGGCTCAGCTCTCGGATCAAACGGTCCAGGATTAATGACCCGAATGGCCACCTTCTGACCTGGATCAGGACGTTGGCCTTGAGTCCTGACTCCCAGCACTCCATCACGATGCCTACGCGCAGCTTCGTGCATCATCAACGGCCAATATGCCACATGAAGCCGTCCTTTGATCAGAAAACCTCTGGCCTTCTCCTTGAGCATGCCAATGCACCTTTCTGCTAAGCCGTTTGCTTGAGGGTCATACCCGCAGGTGGTTGTTTTGAACACGCCCATTTTGTTGATGCCTTCCACAAGCTGCTTTGCAATAAACTCTCGCGCTCGATCTGAGTGTATTCTCACTACCTCTGGCTTGTCGCCACTTGTAGCTGCAATCTGTGAAAGAATACTTTGAAGCTGCTCGTACACTAGCTGCCAATGTCGGTGTCGGAGAGGCCTTGTATACTGCAAGTTGCATCCATCAGCTAGACGAAGCACTGCAACCAACATGTATCTTGCGCCATCATAGCCCTCACGGTAAGGACCAGCAAGATCAATGGACATCACTCCCGTTGCAACCTGCTCTGCACTCAAACGAAGGTGTGGTCGTCGGAGTCCTCGAGTTCTCAAATCATCTATTGTCCTTCCAGGCTTCGGCTTAGGAATCGCATCAGGTGGCAAAGACTCTGGACCTTGGTCAACAGGCTTCTCCTCCTCAGGAAGTGAAGGCTCATACACATCCAAATTATCTTCGCAATCAGGTCGCTGCTCATCGGCTCTTTGCTTCGTTGAGTGCACGAGCTCAGGAAACAAGTCTTCTGACAGCTCTCCATCGCTCACTTCTACGACTTCACCGAAATAAGGTAAACCCTGAAAGCAATCCTGAACACCCTGGTCATCGCCTAAGCTTCCCTGAACTCCCTGAACACCCTGAACTCCCAAGGCATTCTCCAGCGGCTCCGGCGCGCCTTCTGCTGGCGCGCATGTGCTACCCTGCTGTTGTTGTTGTTGATGCTGCTGCTGCAGAACCGTGTTGATCTCTACACGTCGTGTTCCGTCGTCGTCGTGTCTATCATGGATTGGAAAGCCTAAACCCTCCAAATGAGCACGCATGCGCTCTGAGGTCTGCTGTCCAGCTGCCGGCGTGAACGCCGTCACCACAATTCTGTGCCCTCGGAAAGGCTCTGTGCCATGCATTTGAAACGGGTCGAACTCAGCAATCGTACGGCTTGTGCTCAACAAACGACCCTTCGCAGGAGGCTTGTCATCATGCGTCTTTCGCCACACTGCCTTGGACCGCTCAAGTTTTGGATCAGCTACCCAAACCTCTCCGCCATCGTATGCCGTGAGACCTAACACATAATTCTGTGAGCCAGGCATGTTTCGACTGTCTTTGTGAGGCCGAAAAGCAGTGTTTTCCATGATCATGAATGAAGTGTATCTAGCCTCAGGGTGAACAGTCCTAATCAAGCGATTCACTCTCTGCACAAGCTGCACATGCTGCTTTGTAAGGCGCGTGGTTCCACACATTCCACCTCGGCCAAACAAACCAAAAGCCCATGCATGACCTTGGGATTCTGGCTTCGTAACGTTTGGCCTGTGACTGCCCTTTACGCGCAACTTAGCCCTATGAAGCTCATCCAAGACCGTATCAAACTGGCTCTCTTTTGATTCGTCATGGTCTGTTGCTGGCTCCACAGCAACCAAGCTTGCTTCACAGCACTCTAGATCATCTGCCACATGCGCCATGACTTCTTCAATGTCAAGAATGCTTGAGGCTTCGGGACACATGGGAACCGTCACACTGCAAACCTTGCGATTGCACTGCTTGTACTGCTGAGTCAAGTATCTTCGAACCTCAACGAAGTCCTCCACCGGACATAAGGCAAACCGTTCATGACGATTAGATTGATGGTTCTAATCTCACCCGGGAAATCATCATCGGTCTGAAGGTAGGGACCTCGGGCTCGGCTCCACACGAACTTGTATCCTAACGAGACCAAACGACTCAGACCACAGATCCATGTGGCGCCAGGAATCACCAACTCCCCTTCCCGGCTTCTAAACGCTTTGATTCTCATGCCATCGGCCAATTGCAATGATGTTTCACACCCCCTCCGCGGGGGCTCGCCTGGTCGCAACACTTCATTCGCTCCGGAGTCTACCAGGACGAAATCGTGATCTGCATGCAGGCCGGGCGTTGCCTTATTAGCCTGGCCGTATCCACCCTTGGGAACCACCGGGGGACTCTTCCTCACAGCTTTAGCTTTTGGAGGCGGAGCGGCTGGCACTGGTGCAACCTGAGGTGGGGCTCTTACGGTAGGCTGTTTACTGCTCGGCTCACCTGCTCTACTCTGATCCCATGGACATGGCTTTGGACACGCAGTTGATGACTGTGCTGAATCACCGGATGCCTTCACAGGAGGTGATGCGATGATTGTCGGCACTACTGGGGGTCTTTTCACTAGTGAGGCCTTTGGACTTGATTTTGGAGGTGCAGCTTCTGACTTCACCACTGGTGGCATCGGAAATCCTGGTCTAAACCCGGACTCAACCATTCCAATGTACAGCTCATTACCGTCCTCTAAATCCAAAAGCCAAGCAACAAATCCCGGTCGCACAATACCATCGCTACACATGATCATCACAGCATGTGCCTCCGCAATCATTTGCGTTTCTCCAATCTCGAGATCATAAGCTGGAAGCGTCTCTACACGATTCAAGAAATAAGATACACCGACCGCTACATCGAAAGGGTTCGTGACTCCGACGAAATCCCGTCGTGCCCCAGTCTGCACGTGGCCACTTGTCCACCGCACAAACTCATCAGGATCTAAGTGCACTCTCCACAACGGTAGTCTCTCCAGACGCTCCTCACGAGCCTCACGAACCGCTTGGGCTAGATCATCCACCAGAGGATCCAACTCACTTTCTGAACCCTCGTCCTGAATGGTTGACTCAGGGGATGGTGTCGATGCTGAAGATGACAATGATTCCAATGACAAAGCCTCAGACTCCTCCTGCGATCCGTCAGCCTCTGAGTCCTCACGAAGCCTACGTGCCATGAATGCTGATGCGACTGCCGATGCCTTAGCTTTCGCCTTGGCCTTTCCCTTCGCAGCAGCTGCTGCCGAGTCTGTACCCAGCAAACCTGGCACCTCTGTGTCTGCCTTAGCAGCACGACTTGCCTCCGCCCGATACTTTTCATCATGGCTGTAATTGCACTGCTTCCGATAACATCCTTTCGGACCGAAAAAGAATCTGCATGGCTTGTCAATCTTCTTCGGGGTCTTATTGGCATCTGCAGGATCAGGATTTCCAGACTTACGATCTTGAGCATGGGAACTGGATCCGGGTTGCATGTTGGCTTTTCCTTGCTTCCCTTTTGCTTCCTTTCCCTTGCCCTTACCCTTGTCCTTTCCTTTCTCCTTGCCTTTGCCTTTATTTGCGTAGCTCTCACTTGGGCCTCCCTCCTGCTTGTTCTGCTTGGTGTGTTCGTCAGCTGCTGTTTGCCGGAGTTCGTGCTCCAAAGTGTCCAACATCATGTTGACTCCCGCCTCCGTCGGGAATTGGATCTGCGGCGCCAAACGCAAAATGCCAAGACGGGTCTTCAAAGCATCTTGCTTACGTTCCAGGACACGCGTCAATGATGCCAGCGATTTCAGGGCCTCACTCGGCGCTGTAGCCGGTAACCCCAAAGCAGCTGCACGGGTCCGAGCCATCTTCCATCGTCGCAAAACCTCCAACGCTTCTCGAGCTGTGCTCACCGGCTGAAGATTCCTGACATAAGTCAAAAGGCTCGAGACCTCCTCTCGGCCACCAGGTTGTACAATCGTGATAAGTTCTTCAAGGAGGGCCAATGAAGAGATTTGATTCTCATCTGACTCCATGGCTGCGGACTTCATCTCCTGTGGGAGGACCCGCAACAAAGCCACTACCAGCCTGGATTCAAAATCTCGCATCTGATGTGGAACGGCTGGGAAAGGCTGCCGTGTACCGCCAGCCATCCTCGCCTCATGTCGCGCATGGGCCGCAATGAACTGGGTCTCCACGTACTGCTTGAAAGAGTCGGCAACAGTCGCGCTTACCGCTAGAAATTGCCTTTTCCAAGTGACATAGGCCATTGCAGTCTCCCAGGGTTGACCTACCACCGGCTGATAGCTCGGCAGATCATTCAATGTTTTCCACCTTCCATTTGGGATCTCACCAGTCACATTCCCCTGCCCAGGATCCGCAGCGTTGTCTGCGACCACATTTGGAGCTCGGAGGTACGCTGGCAAACCAGGAGGATCACTAATTCCCCAGACATTCTGCGTTGGCCTTCCAATGGATACATTCGCACTATGCTCTGTTGATGAAAACTCGAAAGGTTGCTGCCACCACATAGCGGTAGCATCTGGTTCCTGTTCATCTGCAGGCTCTTGATTTCCCCACGTAGGAGTGTCCTGCAAATTCGGTGTCAAGTCAAATCGCTGGGGCATTCCGCCCACATGCGCTTCAGACTCACAAGGACGTTGATCATCCTCACAATCCGCATTTTCCCACTCTTCCATGCTTGTCTCCAGTGCCGTTACCCGTTCGTCAAGCTGGTCTACAACCGCATTCAGGTCCTTCAAAGATCCAGCCTCTGCATCGTGAGCGTCCCCACGAGCAATCTGTGCCAGCTCTTGATCCACCCTCTCGGCCAACATGCGAACTTGGACTGCCAAATCACCCTCGGCAGCACCAGCATCGCCCTCTTGAGACCCTGTAGCCTGCGAACTTACAGCTGCTGAAATGTAAGTTTCATGAATGCTTAGCCGGCCCTTGTGTTCGTTCACACTCGCACTCATACTGGACAGCATGGTTTCCATCTCATTCAGACGTCCAGCCATGGATTCCACCTTGGCCAATAGCAGGGCTTCGCGCTGCTTCGCCTGATCTATCACGACAAGCTGTTGATTGATTACCGCCTGGTTGTCTTCCAAACGATCTCTCATTGCAGCCATCTCCCTGGTCCATGTCGAGGCTTGCTCCTCAATCACGGTCTGCTGGGCCCTCAAAATCCGCTTGAATTCTTCCAACTGATTTTCAACAGTAACGCACCCTTCAAAGACCTGACGGTGACCTGAGTCCAAGGATTGCACAGCTTGGCCTAGGATTCCTGTACGATGGTTAAGTCGATCGCTGATTTCCTGCATCGCTGCTCGGATATCTTCGATGGCTCCAAGATCAAAAGACACGTTCTCCTGAAGTTGTCGAAGCAAGTCGGCAGGGAAAGCAATCTGCGTCATTGACCTAAACATCACAGTGTTAGTCGCGTCGTCTCGCGCTGAGGCATCTGCTGCTGCTGCTGCTTGTATGCCGTGCATAGGTTGAGGAGTATCTAGGGGGTTTGGGCTCATCACCTGTTGATGATGTTGGGGATTTACAGGACTCGGGGTATTAGTAACAATGGAGTAGTGTGTAGGAGTTGGGGAGCCTGCGAGCCTCTGTCTAATTTGATGCGGTAGGTCATCTAGAGGATTGTACATGGGCCCCAAGGCTCACACAAAACCAAACCCGAACCCATCAATCACCCAAAAAGGACACAAAGATTCTCGCACTTCCCGCACGATGCAGTGTCTCACACTCAAAGGCCGAATGCCTTTTTCAATCGCGCTTGAGCCATACATGGCATCCCACGCACCTCGGTTTGTGCGTGTCATCCTTCGCAAGGGCCATGCACACTCCTTAGTCGTGCGTGTCATCCTGAGCAGGGGTCATGCGCACAAGGATGAATAGTACTGGAATCCCCTATACTTTGCCTTAAGGGCATGAGGATAATGATGTTCCAACTTTCTGGCTTCTACTGTATAGGGTTTGGGGTTTATAGGCTTTAGGTTTTAAGGTTCCTTGTAGGGCCTCTTTCGGTACCAAAAACCCATAAGTAAGGACTGGTCTCCTGGTCCTCGTGTGCTTCGAGCTTCGAGTACCGAGTAGACAGCAGCGCGAAGTTCCGCATGCACTGTCCAAACCCAGCCTCTAATCTAGTCAATCTGAGCTCTGCTGCGCCCAGTCCCAAATCCTTGACTCCAAGCCAGGCTAAAATGCCCAAATACTCCTGGATCCAAAGCTTCACCTGATAGCTGTAGGATGGTATCGACCAGAGCCCCTCAGATCCGATAGTGTTAGGACGGCCATGTGCCTGGAGACTGGAACCCTTGGTTTAGAAAAAAGCCACCGAATAGCTACAGAAAAGCTACAGACAAGCCGCAAGATACAGACAAAGCTACAGGGAGGCTGTCGAAAGCCACAGAAAAGCTGCAGGAAGGCTAGAGGAGGATCGAGACGAGAGCTTGGATCAGCTAGATAAAAGCGTGCGCAAAAGCCGCCCGAAAACCTCTCGGAAACTTGCATCATTTGCATCTCTCTCTCTCTCTCTCTCTCTCCCTCCCTCCCCCCATCTCGCTTCCCCACCCTTTCCCACTCTTTCATCCGCCCCGGCGCCCGGCGATTCCAGACCCGCCCGGCAAACCCAACCTCCCGCCCTGCCCCCTGCTCAGCTTTTCACTTCGAACCGCGGGCGACCCCCAGCTTGCAGTAGACTTCCTCTTCTCAGACGTTAGCTTTTTTCTAGCTTTTTGTCGGCTCCACTGTCGCAGGAGTGCGTGCCTTTCCCTGGAGCAAAGGTACAAAAAGCAAACACAAACCCAAAAAGTACCAACCAAAAGCTGAAAAAATAACTAACAAAAAGCTAAACAAAAGATTGAAAAAACACTAAGAAGAAGATAGCACAAGTTACCAAAACAGTTATTCTTGGGAGTGCCTGGACCGGGCTCTCCATATTCATAAATTACGAAAGATTCAGATGTGGCTACTTTGTCAGCGCCATTCTGGAGTTTTTCTGGCTGCTTCTCAGTGCCATCGAACTCCCGTGGATCCAACACCGAAACTTCCCTCGGCTAGCTTGTATTTTGCTTTCCCATAGCTTTGCTTTAATCTAACATGTAGCTTTGTGCCCAGCGTGCCTCCGGGAGCCCTGTGGCAGCATCATCCTCGTTTCTGTCTCCTGGATTTCAGGATGCTAATACGACTTGCTCGTCTGGCTGTCCAGACTTCACGGTGCAATCAAGAAAACCCTTTAGCAAAACAAAGACAGCCCACTCCCCAACGACTCGTGGCAGCCTGCACTGGCCTTCGGCACCGCACCGTGCTTTGCAAAGCCAGCCTCGCGGGTCTGTGCGGGGGGGGGGGCGGGAGCTCATCGAGGCGAGCGACCCACGTCAACAGCAGCATAACTCCAGGAATGACCGGCAAAAGCAACTCATTCCACCACACTCTCCCCTCCTACAAAGTACCAGCAGCTCATCGAGGCGAGCGACCCACATCTTCCAGCAGCATAACTCCAGGAATGACCGGCAAAAACAACTCATTCCACCAAACTCTCCCCTCCTACGAAGTACCAGCAGCTCATCGAGGCGAGCGACCCCGTCTTCCAGCAGCAGAACTCCAGGAATGACCGGCAAAACAACCCATTCCACCACACTCACCCCTACAAAGTACCAGCAGCTCATCGAGGCGAGCGACCCACGTTGCAGAAAACCGCGCCGTGCCAAACTATCCCACGTCTACCAGCAGCATAACTCCAGGAATGACCGGCAAAAACAACTCATTCCACCACACTCTCCCCTCCTAAAAGTACCAGCAGCTCATCGAGGCGAGCGACCCACGTCTTCCAGCAGCATAACTCCAGGAAAGACCGGCAAAACCAACTCCTTCCACCACACTCTCCCCTCCTACAAAGTACCAGCAGCTCATCGAGGCGAGCGACCCCCACGTCTTCCAGCAGCATAACTCCAGGAATGACCGGAAAAAACAATGCATTCCACTACACTCTCCCCTCCTACAAAGTACCAGCAGCTCATCGAGGCGAGCGACCCACGTCTTCCAGCAGCATAACTCCAGAAATGACCGGCAAAAACAACTCATTCCACCACACTCTCCCCTCCTACAAAGTACCAGCAGCTCATCGAGGCGAGCGACCCACGCCTTCCAGCAGCAGAACTCCAGGAATGACCAGCAAATCAACTCATTCCACCAAACTCTCCCCTCCTACAAAGCACCAGCAGCTCATCGAGGCGAACGACCCACGTCTTCCAGCAGCATAACTCCAGGAATGACCGGAAAAAACACCTCATTCCACCACACTCTCCCCTCCTGCAAAGTACCAGCAGCTCATCGAGGCGAGCGACCCACTTCTTCCAGAATGGCCAGCAAAAACAGCTCATTCCACCACACTCTCCCCTTCTGCAAAGTACCAGCAGCTCATCGAGGCGAGCGACCCACGTCTTCCAGCAGCATAACTCCAGGAATGACCGGCAAAAACAACTCATTCCACCACACTCTCCGTTCCTACAAGTACCAGCAGCTCATCGAGGCGAGCGACCCACGTCTTCCAGCAGCAGAACTCCAGGAATGACCGGCAAAAACAACTCATTCCACCAAACTTTCCCCTACGAAGTACCAGCAGCTCATCGAGGCGAGCGACCCACGTTGCAGAAAACCGCGCCGTGCCAAACTATCCCACGTCTTCCAGCAGCATAACTCCAGGAATGACCGGAAAAAACAACCCATCCGACCACGCTCTCCCCTCCTACAAAGTACCAGCAGCTCATCGAGGCGAGCGACCCACGTCTTCCTGCAGCATAACTCCAGGAATGACCAGCAAAATCAACTCATTCCACCACGCTCTCCCCTCCTGTAAAGTACCAGCAGCTCATCGCAGCAGCATAACTCCAGGAATGACCGGCAAAAACAACTCATTCCACCACACTCTCCCCTCCTACAAAGTACCAGCAGCTCATCGAGGCGAGCGACCCACGTCTTCCAGCAGCATAACTCCAAGAATGACCGGCAAAAACAACTCATTCCACCACACTCTCCCCTTCTACAATCGAGGCGAGCGACCCACGTCTTCCAGCAGCATAACTCCAGGAATGACCAGCAAAAACAACTCATTCCACCACACGCTCCCCTCCTACAAAGTACCAGCAGCTCATCGAGGCGAGCGACCCCCATGTCTTCCAGCAGCAGAACTCCAGGAATGACCGGCAAAAGCAACTCATTCCACCACACTGTGCCCTCCTACAAAGTACCAGCAGCTCATCGAGGCGAGCGACCCACGTCTTCCAGCAGCAGAACTCCAGGAATGACCGGAAAAATCAACTCATTCCACCACACTCTCCCCTCCTACAAAGTACCAGCAGCTCATCGACGCGAGCGACGACCCACGTCTTCCAGCAGCATAACTCCAGGAATGACTGGCAAAAACAACTCATTCCACCAGTCCATCGCCACCCGTGCCCCGTCTTGCTACTTCTCAGCGCCCAGCGTGCAGTGCTTTTGTTCTGCAACAGGTCGAGCCTGACATAGCAAGATCAAGTTGAAGCCCGCCCTTGTGTCACAAGTACACAGTACGCATGCTTCCTGCAGCTCCCCTAACGGGCTCTGCCGAGATGGATCCGATGGTGGCCCCATCTACTCAATTTACTCATCTACTGCCACGGCGTGCAGCTTCCAACAACAACAGCTCACCGCTCCGCAACCAGACGGATGTCAACGTTGTCTCCAACCTGTGCCTCTGCGAACTGCGCTTGCTGCGCAACCAAAGAGCCAGCGTGTTCTGATGCGTTCGCTTTCTGCGTTTCGGATCCAACCCTGTTCAAACTCGCTGCAACTCTGCACCCTGACTGGAAGGTATACCCAGTGGACGCGGACGTAGTGTATCTGCGTCTGCTCGTATCGCTGGTTCTGTGCAGCATGCTCAACTTGCACCAGGAAGCATGTCGTTCGTTATGCCGGCCCTGAACCCCAGCTTCTGGCTGCTGCCCCACCTGTGGCTGTTGGCCTCGTACGTGGTGCGACCACAACAACATGAACAAACCTGTCAAGACTCCTTGTGCCCAGCAGCTGCTTAGTCAGCATGTCGGATACTGTTGTTAACTTTTGCAAATTCACCTTCATCTGGGAAAATGAAGTCATTCCTGCCGCCTGCCCGTACACCCCTCCTCCCAACCCCTCTGCAAGACGGCCAACTCTTCCACAAGCAAAAACTGCAGCATTGTTGAGGGAGCAAGTTCGAAATTACCCATCTCTCACTCGAAAACAATTCATTCCAGCGGCTCGCCCCCGCATGCGAGCACCTGCAGAAAGCGCCCAATGCTTCCATCAGAAAGAGCGAGTTCGGGAAAGCAACTCATTCCACCCGAATGCCGCCCCTCTCGCACACGTGCCTAGTAGGTCTGCACACGTCAAAACTCTTTCCAGTAGCAGAAGCTCAAAGAGCGGTGCGAGAAAAGCAACTCTTTCCACCGGCTCGGCCGACCATGCCTGCCACCATTAAAGAAAATGAAAGCTGAAGAGTGTGTTCAGCCACAGGAAAGCTTCGTTGCACCACCCGCCCCATCAACTGTAAGCACCTTCGGGGTCTGCGCGTGGAAACTCTGCCGTCAGCGTTTGTTTTCGAGGATGTCCTCGGAAACCAAATTCCACCACCTCCCAAACTGCAAAACTCCACCAGCGGCACCAACCGCCAGCGCCCCACCCCGCTCCCCGCCGCCCGCCCGAGCCATCCTTAAGGAACACGGCGAGCCTGAGAAAACAAATCATCAGCAAAACAACTCATTCCACCCGCCCGACCTCCCATGTCTGCACGAGGAGAAAGTAAAGTAAGGGACAACATCTCATTCCCTCCGCCGGCCTTCATCGCTTCTGCCACGGCTTTTCGACTGCTCGAAAGTGTCCGTGGATTCCTCTGGGCGGGTATCTATGTTTATGCAGAAACGGACGCGCGCCTTCCACCTTCATGACAGACGAAGCTACAAGTTACAAGTAAGTGCAAGCAGGGGTGAGGGCTTGTGAACGACGACGACCGCGACCGAACCGAGCGTGCGAGACCACCACTTTTCAGTGAATGGCCCCGCAGTTCCGATCCGAGACCCCTTTGCAGGAAGCCTCTTCATGGCCGGCTCGGTTGCGGAAGTCACCGAACACGTGAACCACTACCCAACGCATGCATAAACAAATCGGCGTCATCACAGGGACACACCCCAAAGCGCAAGAAAGCTCAAAGCTCCTGCAGCGAGCAGCAGAGCAGCAGCAGACCAGTGCAGCCGGCATGGTGTCTCAGACGGAGTGGCCGCTTCTGCCAGGGCCTCTTTGGGCATGGCTAGGGGCACCGCGAAGCAGGGCACCATTATCGGTGCGACTTTCCAGTGAGTGGTAGCCTGAAGCACATCGCTTCTGCTTCATGCGAGACGCGCTCTGACCGTGCCCCATAATTACGTGAGCGTTGTCAATGCTGTTGGTCCTGTCCACACTGTGAGCCCAAAGCTCCAACAGCTAGCAAGAAGTCATTCTGCAGCTTCATCCCTTCGCGAAAGCACTGGGTGTGTGGCCTTACTGTGTGGATGTGCAACTGCAGCGGACCCCTCAATGCAATCACATGCCTGTCCTTTTTCTTAACGATGCTCGTCACTGCTCTGCCTCCTTCGTGGGGCGGGGGATGGCCGGGGCAGGGTCGAGTGGTTCTGGCCAGCAAAGATCCGAATTTCCTTCTCAAAAGCTTCGATCGCAGCGATCGGAGGGACTAGTTCCTTAATTTGGGGTGAGCCGTGAACTCAGGTGACATCGTCTGGCACGGCGCAGCCGGCCCACGTGCAACTGCTATCCTGGCAGCCGCACGCAAGAAGAATGAGCCCTTGTTTCAACCCAGCACCCGTTTACGGCGAAGCCTCGGGGCGAGCAGCGGCACGATGTTAGCCGCATCGGAGCACCTTGTCCTGTGCACAAGCAGGCATTCGAAGGTGACCTCAGAAGCAGGTGGTCATGAGCAACATCGCCGGCGAACCTCTTCCAGGTGCTTTCCGATGCTTTTGGTGGCTCGCTGGTGCCCTTTGCACGACAGATCCAACCCACCGGTGCACGCCATAGCACTCTGAAAAAACGGCAGAGCCGCCCAAGCCAGACCTTGCGGAGGAACATCTGAATGAAGCGGATCGGCTGCCTCCAGTTGCTGAACCTGTGGAGAGCGGCACTCTCCCTTGGGCCCGGGACTGGAGGAGGGACCCACCCACCGCGACATCGAACCAGTCTTTCGGGCCTCATGGCAAGGCGAGGTGGCGCAATGCATGGCAAACGCAAAGCAAAGGCTTCGGTGCACTCCACAAGGCTCTAAAATTTCAGGATGTATAGTTCCCAAACTCCTGCAGAACGGCGTAGCTGTGGATCTGAGACTGAGAAGCGTCGCAGCTTCATGGCCAGTAGCAGTTGTCAAAAAAAAGAGACATCTGTGCACTCCTCCGTGCATGAAGACACAGATGCAGCTGCTCTTTCTATGCTTTAAGTCGCTTCGACTATTCGTCTTACATAACGCTCGCAGCACTCTCTCGAGGCTCTCTCTTCTGCCTTCTTATGGTGAGGGTGCCATCTCGCCAAGTAGATGTAGCAGGGTCCTGCCACTGGAGCCCGGTTGAACGCCGTCAACGCATCATGTTCTTAGTCTGGCGCCTTTGTGCCCGAACAGCGCTAGCCGCTAACAACGTTGCAGCCGACGTCTCCTCCTGCTGCGACGATGACCGAGTCGCCCTGGCCAGTGGGCTCTTTCAAGCCACAGCTACGAGTACCAGCTTCACCGCCGTTGCAGCGGATTCAATCACCCAGGCTTCTGCTATGCTGGGCTAACGGTCTCGGAAAGAAAATGTTGACAACCCAGCTGACTTTCTGCTTCGTCAAAACACACGCACCGAATGTGTCTAAACCCCGAGCCTTCTTGTGCCTGGAGACTTGCGGCCGTGAAGAGTCGCACGATGGACTCGTGTATCGGAGGCGGCTCGATGAAGCGGCCATTTACGTAGAGGTACATGTCGGTGTTCTGAACATCTTCCAGCCTCGACACGACATCTCCCGAGGGCTTTGACAGCAAAGAGTCTCTCTCATGCACTGGACGCATGGCTGCCTCTCCATTAGATGCCACGCAGGTCTGCTCACGACACAGGTCTGCACACAACTGCAGATGCTGAGGCCTTCTAAAGCGCAGCCATCAGAGGACCATTGAGCCCGCGAAGGCCACGAGTGCAGCCACATCCCAACCTCGGCATCAAGACTAAAGTTTATAAAGAGTTCTCATGGTCATTACGGCCGAACCCGGGTCATGCACGCCATAGCATCCGGTAAGAACCAGGCAAAGGCTCTAGTCTTGCTGCCTGCTCCGTGACCAGGTCCAAACGGTGTGCCTGATGCGTGCAGTCTCGTGCGGACAACGCTTCCAGCAAGTCTTGTTGCCCGTCCGCCCTCAACTCCCTACCTGGATGTGCATGCACTACACTGACAGATATAACTATGCAGTTCATACATCATATTCTATCTATATTATATTATATTATATATATACACTCTTTCATCATACATGCCAAACTCCTCACGAAAAATTGCGAACACACACGGGCGCACAGACAGACACGGACAGCATACCACAGAGCGAGCGAGAGCGAGAGCGAGAGCGGGGGAGGGAGAGAGGGAGAGAGCGAGAGAGGGCGCGAGCGCGAGAGGGGGACGGAGGGACAGGGGGTTAGCAACTGGAGACACGTAGCTGAGTGCACACCCTCGCTCAAATAGCCGAATTTCGATCTTGCGCTCAAGACGTCTGCGGCGAATACTGTCATGTGAAAAGACTGAAGCATGTGGCGTTACACATGTTAGCCAATTCAAGTACTACATTCAGCAAAAACAAGTGAGGATCGTCACCACGGATGATAAAAACAGACGCAAATTTCTCACCCGTTTTATCTACAGTGTGACGTCCGAAACACGCGAATTTAACCTCTTTGGGTCAGCTCTACTTCGCCGGGTTATACTGGGAGCTTTGCTCTGGCAACCGAGTCGAGCAAGGCAGCTCAAGACTCAAGGTTACGGTCTCAGGTTTCAAACGGAGTGTTTTCGCTGGTGTCTTCCGTGCCGGTGCCGGGTGAGCTCCGCGCGGCTGGGGCAGGCACATCAAAGCACTTGCACCTTGTTGAGATCAAAACTTTGATTGATCAATAGCGGCTTCATGCTGTTGGTTAGGCAGTCAGCCAGTTGCAGATGCGTGGGGATCCAACGGAGTTCATCACCGTATGGGTGATGCAGGGTGTGCGTGGGAACGTCGTCCTCCCAGAGTCCTTGTCGCATACCCGTCATTTCGATTGCGAGTCTCTTATCCTCACACTGTTTCGGCACCTGGGCTGTGAGGTGGTCCGATAACGATCTGCAATCGGTATATTGGAAGTGGAACATGGAACGTTTCGCGACCTCCTCCCAGTTCCGTGACATGGGGAGCTTGCCAAGCACTTCTAGGACAGCCGCTCGTATGCGGTCACCATGCTCTATGGCATGTTGGAGCGAGTAGGCTTCGCACTGCAGCGTAGCTCGGCACACGCGCTTCATGGTTGACGATGAGAAGGATATCAAATGCATTTCGTGACTTGGCGTGTTTTTGTCAACTGCCGACTTTGCGGAAGTCACGTAATGAAATCGTCCACGCTGTGACTTGTGACCGGCTTCTCCTGCAAAGGAAGCATCACAAAAGGTGACAACTGCGATTTCTCCTGAATTCCAGGGAAGCTTTGCGCTGTACGTTATGGGGCGGTCGGCATCACCCAACGCAAGTGCAACCACGCGGTTCGCATCACGAAGCGTTTCCACTGTGGCTGTCGTGACTCTTTGCTGCAAGGCATTTACGCGATACACGAGATCAGGCCTCGTCGCTCGCGCGACCCAGGCAAGAGAGCCGATGACGGACCTCAGCGCTGTGCGCTGGCTTGCTGAGACTGGGCAGTCCCCTTCTCCGATTTATGGATTTCAATCGGGCGGATCGCACGGGTGTTGTCTCTGCAGTTTATGCGCATCATCCCGTCGATCTCTTGGACATATTCGCGTCCGCAAAAGCGAAACTTATCGGTCTCAATACGACCGATTTTGAATCTATCCAACAAGTCCTGAATCACAGGTTCCCCCTCAGTGGTCGCAGCCCATAGGAAGTCGTCCACACCGTCCTGCGTCGGTGGTACCGTAGACTGGAACACGGGCAATCATATACCCGGCACGCTGTATTTCCGGATCGGGCACACCCTTGGGGTGTTTCGGTACGCGGAGTATGAGGAGTCTCGCAAGGGGTTTCCCTTGGATATAGGCGTTCGTTATGTCAGCTGCTTTGAGCCGCAAGCCAAGTGACACGGCCCATGAACTTTTGATTGCAATTCCTGCTGGCTCTGCGGTTGGGCTTTCAGCCCTGATATCTTCCTCGTTTCCAATGTGTTCAAAGTTACCGCAAGCCACCAAACGAGCTTTCCATTTGGGAGTGTACTCAGGCGTGGCTTTCAAATGTTCATTTTTGTCAGTCAGTACCCACATATGCAGACATGCCCTGCCTTAACAAGGTCTTTAAACTCCCTGTCTGTGCAAGGGACAACCGCATTGAATTCCGCGTGTTTCTGCCATTCCGTTTTCATGGCAGCATCAAGTCCCATCTGCACGTCTATGGGTGCCTTGTGATAATCAACGAGCGAAGCCAAAAGACAGACATCGACATGGCTGCCGAAGACCTCTTCTCCGTCAGGAGTGAGAGTAAAGGCCTGTGACTCCGCTCCACGGCTATCCGTGGGCTCATCCAATGGCGGCACATGGGCGGCATGCGACTGCGCATCGGCTACGGCGACGTTTGACGCATCCTCCTGCTCATCTGTTTCAATGATCACATGGTGATACGGATGAGTTTTCAGCATGGCGTTGGCTCGAATGTGTTCCACCAGCTTGGAATGTTCTGACCACAAGTATCGTGAAATGACTTGACGGTGACATCTTCGCCAACTGGCCTCTGGACACAAAAGTGCAATGCGATGGTGATCGTCATTCGACTCACTAGCTATCCTAGTGATCGTGGCGATTCCTTGATCGGTCTGCAAGTTCGCTTCAATTCCACCGTGATTCCTGTTTCCAAGCTCAGGCGCGTGACTATACACTATGCCGTGTGCGAAACATGCAGCTGAAAGTTCTTCACAATTTTATATTGCGGGTGACGCGCACTGTGCGGATGACTTCTGCAGTCGACAACCTCGCTAACCCCGTTTTCGAGAATGCGCTCTAAGTACACTAGCTAGCGTATCCTCCCGCCACCTCCCACTACACCTCCAGGGAGTACGTAGCAAGCCTAGCTTTAGCTAACTAACTGGCTTCACACAGTAGCACGGACAACACGAACTTCTCTTTTTAGCGTTGTGGCGAAGTCTCACGTTCGCCCGGAGAAAAACTCTAGCCTTTGGCTAGCTGATCTCCTAGCGGAGCCGCAGGGCTACCAGGGACCAACCTTCCGGGCCCTTTTAGTGAACCTTGGAGCTTTCTGGCTCTTCCTCACTCCAGCCGAGCGTTCGAGGCGGCGGCTCAGCACGCGCCACTCTAGCTTCTCCCCCTCCAGGTTCAACCTGAAGTCCGGGGAGAAACTAGCTAGCTGATTCAGATCCCGGCGGATCCACTGTGTAGCTCTTAGCGGAGAGCTCTTCCGCCAGCTCAATGAACACCAGAGTCGAGGGAAACTTCGTCGTCATAGCTTTCCTCAGTAGCGCCTCGTTGGACTGGTTGTCGGTGTAGCCGCGGATAGCGACCCGTGAGGTGTCCTGAGGGGGTGGGTGGGGTGTGGGGGGGTTGGGTCGGGGCTAATAACGTCCGTGTTTGACGCGTGCAGCAAGAGAAGTCTCGTTGGCACCATTGAAAACGCACTTTTGGAGGCTCGAAAAGCACGTTTTGGTTGGTCATGGGGGGGGTGGGGCTGGGGGGGTGGGGTGAAACACTGAATGTTACACATCCAGGTGCTTATCTGTTTCACGTATCACTTGCATGTATCCATGCCTGTTGCTCAAGGTTCTAGCGCAGTGGACTACAGCTGTGCGCCTGTAGCAAAAGAGACACCTGAGTGCCTGTGTTCCTGTACGCCTTAGCGAGGGGATACACGTCCAGGTTACATCTCAACGTGGTAGCGGAGCTCCCGGGAAACGGGAAGCTTCACATCTGTGGAGGTACCCGTTCGGTACTCTCTACACAGGTGGAGGCAACCGGAATACCCGGTGTGCTTCACTCAAATGAACGTGACCGGAGTCTCTCTGGTACACTTCACTCAAGTGAAGATAACCGGAAGAGGTTTCTCCCGGGGCTCGATCCAAGAAAAGCGCCATGGCTAGCCACTCTGCGACTATCTTTGAGCATGATGGAGGAGATGATGACTACCTCCTTCAAGGCAATGAATCTTTTGCGACTAATCATCGTCATCTCAATGAACTACACCGTCTTTCAGCTTTCCAGCAGGTGACCACCAAAGTACCTCCATCTTATGATGGTAGACGTAGTTGGTTTGCCTATGAAGATGCGATCGATGACTGGTGTGACATTACTGAGCTAGACAATGATAAGCGTGGACCAGCCTTGAGAAATCGGCTAGAAGGTGAAGCAGCAATCCACAAGAGGCTTCTCGACAGAGATCGCCTGAAGGACCCAAACAACGGAGTGAAGTACTTCAAGAGCTTCCTGCGGCCGCTCTTCGTGAAGGGAGCAGCAAATGTTTTCCTCTATCGCTTCCAGCAGTTCATGAATTTGCACCGCGGGAATGGAGACATGCTTCGTTGGATTACCAGGTTTCAACTCTCTGTTCAGAGGATGCAAGAAGCGTGGTATGATACCTATCTACCGATCGTGGACCCGAACAATGCAGAGGTCAGAGCCTTCATAGCAGGACTTCCACCAGAAGAACAAGAAGGACTCACGCCAGAGCAGGCAATGGAGAGAGCCAACGAACGGCTCAGAGATCAGCATGCTCGGACCATTCCGATCACGGCCAACCTCGTTGCCTTGATTTTTGTCTCCCTGTCCGACCTGACGCAGGATCAGCGGCAGGTGTTGACATCGCTGTTGGCACATCGGAACCGAGTCTTGGCTGACTACAACGTGACCGAGCTGCGTGAGGTCTACCTTGAGATCTTCTGCACGACCAAGACTACCGTCGATAATCCTCTCCTCGCTCCTTCTGGCCACGGTGGCCGCAAGACGTTCCTTGTGATCGATGAAGGATACTTGGACAATTATGAAGCTACTGGGTCGAGGACGAGGAGGATGGCACAGAAGGTTTCCTTGAAGCGGATGAGGACCCCTTCTGGGTCTACGACGATGAGAACTACTCATGGTTCCAGCGGCGCTTCCAAGGCCGCAAAATGAAGCGCGGATTCAAGGGCCACCGCAAGGGCAAAGGAAAAGGTGGCAAAGGATCCAAAGGAAGACGCTTCT